TTCAGAGGGCAGGCACTGCAGCAGGCTCAGATGACTGGATTATGCTGAAGATGTGTTTGGTAATAGGCCGGGTGAACTGGGCCCCAACAGGTGTAACTAGTGAGCAATGCTGCCTGGTTTGAGAAAACATCAATGTTAACTTAATTGGCTGGAGAATGGGACTTTATCACCCGATCTGTGTTGACATTCATGTCCCTGATGGTCTCTCTGCAGATGGGGGCCCTCAGTGGTCCCCCGGTCCCTCAAGCAGAGTCCGTTCCTGACACCAGCACTCCAGATCACCGGCTGACAGGGTAGTTCATCAGGCTCGTTGGCAATGGTAGTGGTCAGCTATTCCTCCCTTTTTCTCCAGTCTCACACTCTGTGGGCTGGTCTGGTCCTCTGGTGTTCTTCACAGTCTTCTCCTCACACCCACCTTTCAACTCTCCCAACTCACTTCCTGTCCCCGGGGTTCCTGGGCTTCTGTATATATATGCCTCTGCCCACACACCAGCTCCTCTGTAAAATGTAGTTCCCTAATTCATTGTCTCCCAGCAGGGTCCTAAGGTTCAGCCTACAAAATCCACAACGCTTTTCACTAGTGTTGCAGGACACTACCACCTTGAGTCTCTGTTAACATCCTGCAATCTTGAGTTATAGCCGGGTGTTACCATAATGGCATCTATGGGCCAGTGCCTAGGGCAAGAGGGTAGGAGGGGATGGCTAAGTCTCAATATTATGAATCTGTAATATTTTTCTTATTTTGTTTTCCTTTTCTGGTCTCCTCTAGGCACTAGTGACCAAACTGAGCAAGAGGACTTTAGGTGGAAGGCCCCTTTCACATGGTTGGACTGTCTGTCCATTTTTCATCCATCCCATGATGGATGAAAAACAGACAGCAATGTATTTCTATGGACCAACGGAAGTGAACAGATGATCATCCATTTACATCAGTGTCTGTTCTGGTCTGTTGTTTGAGGCCCCTTTCATGAACGTTCTGATCAGGGTCCACCTGTCTGTTTTTTAGGTGGACCAGATCGGAACCTCCATTCTCGTCTATGGATTGGCGGGTGAAAATGGACAGGTGTCTCCTACATCCAATCTGATCTGCTAAAACCACACTGATGGGGATCAGTTCCCCTCCATCTGATTGGATTGGATAGCAGTCAGGTTACAGTCTGGTTTACATCCAACCACCCATAGAGGAGAGCGGGCTGTGTCAATGTCATCTCTGCTTAAGCGGAACATACATGGACCTGTCATCCACCTGCTCAGTGGGAATCAGTGGACAGATCCCCTGCTCAGTAAGCGGGTTGCGAGTCTGGGCATTCAATCTAGATCCGTCTGTCAGTTTTTCAGACGGATCCAGACTTAACCACAATGTATGTCTACAGAAGGGTGGATATAAACTAATTTTCATGCGTTTACATCTGCCTACATCCATGTCAGTTCCAGTCCAGTCCAGAACAGCCAACCTCCAGATCCGTTGGAATGGATGTGGACTGATATAAACTGAAGTGTAAACTAATGTAAACTGAGGCACACTGAACTGAACTGAAGATGGATGTGCAAATTGATATAAAACGGTTGTGAACTGAATCCGATTTTCCTTTAAAAAAAAATGTGGCTGAAAAAATGATGTCCAAGTGACAGGGGCCGTGGGGTTGTTGGAGGTCAGAAGGCTCATGATCTAACTCTCCTTTCTCTTGTTTATTTGTCTGTACAGTAGTAAAATATTCTTTACAATCGGGCTGCAGGTTTGCTCCAATAGAACATTATAGCATTATTTTAGTTACTAATATAGTAAAGCAAAATAAAGTGCAGCGCTAAAGATATGAATAATAAAATATAAATATTGACATAAAAGTTTGTTCAAATATAAAATCGTCCACTCAACAAGATGTATTAAATGGCACCAATGAATATATGCAAATATAAATGATTAAGAAGTCTTCCACAGCAGCAGATCCTTCCAAAGCCTGTGACAGATGCTAAATAGCAAGAATGCGCACTCACCAGATACGCATAGGAAATGCGCATGTAAATCACCACATGATGGGGTATATACAGCATGCAGATGGTGGGCTTCCCTTATGGATCAACAGATCATCAGGTTTTGGATTTCGTGCTGGTTTACCAGATCCAGAGGTCTCCTTTAGGATGACTGGGTTGGCAGTCTGGATACAGGGCTCCCTCCTCTGGACGTAGATGTGAAGGTGATTCTGTGGAATTCAATTAGCTCCTCCAAAAGGAGCCAAAGAAAAGGGGGTGCCAATAGTGTAGTATTTCAGAATTTATTGAATGACTCATAAGTAAACAAAGTGGGTGGAGGTACAGTACAAAATTGAAGTTAAAAAGCAGAGTACTGCAGCACTGACCCTATAGTAAAATGGCCGCCGGACCTCCTCGTGGTCACGGCGGGGGATGACGTCACACGCTGTCAGCTATCAATATTTATATTTTATTATTCATATCTTTAGCGCTGCACTTTATTTTGCTTTACTGGACTTTTCAAGGTTTGTGTGATTTCCTTTAGTGTACCAGCTACTATCCTCCCACTGAGCGCTCGCTGTTTTATTATACATTTGTTAGTTACTAATATAGTTGTATATACAATGGGCAGGCCTTGCCAATCCCTGCATATTAGATCGGGTAACCCAGAGATGAGACGTTGGGCCAGAATGGCTATTCCAAATCAGCCTAAAATGGGGCTACTGTAAAGCAAATTACTCAGGGTGGCCCTTTTATGGGGTCCTACAGACTGTTGAGGGAAATTGAAGATTTCCAGGTCTGCCTTATGTTCTTCATCCAATGTGGAGTTTTGCAGACATCGATGTGCAAGGGTACTAAAGTAACATTGGTGAAGTTTGTAAAGTTGTCTGCTACATAAATGCAAATGACACATGAGGCTTCATTGAATGATGTGGTGGCATGATCTCATGGGATCAAAGTTCCCTTCCTGTAAATCTTGCTGCTGTATAGTAACATTTGGAAGAAATTCATTTTTCCATTCTGGTGAACAGATAGCTGTGTGTCTAAACACATGACCTTGTGTGTCGCTACAACTGACAAGCCTTCCTGGTTGTCTGGAGAGGTCAGGAGGCAATAGAACATACTGCTCATCTCCATGTCAAACAGGCACTCATAGGAAACGATGTCATTTTATTGCTCTCGTTTGTTGAACATCAGTCATGATTGGTGAATCAGTGTGTTGTAGATATAAATATAAGCTTTGAAGTTAATCATTTCATGAAATAATGGGAAGTTGATGCATGGAAAGTTACAGTCCCTGGAATAGTTTTCTAAGTGGCTGATGCATTACAACCATTGTTTACAGCTATTCTAGCTTTAGGAACAGTCTCAGAGTGTTTGTCCCTGGAAATGTTTTAGATTTTAAATGTTTAATAACAGAAGTCATTGCCTTTATACAGCTTGTGGTGCTGTTTATATGTTTGAGGGTCCCACATGGCCAAAAACCACTTGCTGACCACCCAGGGTAATTTCACTGCAGGCAGGCAGGCAGGCAGCTCATACAGGCACAAATCACACACATGTATATCAACACCTTCATCCTAGTTCAGGGCACGCAAGCGCTCTTCCCCCCTGGCAGACTCCACTGTAATTGGACACGGCAGGATTTTGTCAACAGGTTTCAGCCAACAATTCATGACTGAGACCTGCTTATTGTCAAATCAAATCCCAGAGCCCTGTGTTGACAAACAGTCAGTATACCTCTCAGCCAGTGTTAGGCCGACCATACATGGGTCGATTTTTAAATTATTTTTCGTTTGAAAATCAGATCTAAGAATAATCGGCCGATTTTCGTTCTGTTAGTGGGGCAATGGCACCGGCCGATTTTCATGATTCCTCCCCATTTCCTTTATTGGGCATGCTGGAAAATTCGAGAAAAACTACCGATTTTCAAAATCATTGGTCTCACCATCGGATTACAGAATGAACAATGTTTTCAATTTTCGATCGAAAAATCATTCGGAATTCGACTCATGTATGGCCTGCTTTAGTGTCAGATTGCCCACCACATTATCACAATTCCACTATAGGTCGCCGATCACTGCCATTACGAGTATAAAAAATAAATAAATACAAATTCTAGCAATTTCCATAGTTTGTAGACACTATAACTTTCACATAAACTATTCAATATACACTTATTGTTTTGTTTTTGTTTTTTTTTTGTTAAAGACATAGCATGCATTTTGGCCTAAATTAATGAAGTAATTATATATATATATATATATACATATACATATATATATATATATTTATATATATATATATATATATATATTATAGCAAAAAAAAAAATATATTGTTTTTAATTTTTTTAAATTTTCTGTCTTTCTTTATATATTTCATTTATATAATAAAAAATAAAAAGCCCAGTGGTGATCAAATACCACCAAAAGAAAGTTCTATTTGTGTGCAAAACTTTTGATAAATTTAATTTGGTTACTGCTTTGCATGACCACGCAATTACCAGGTAAAATAGCCCAGTGATAGCAAAAAATGGCCTGGTCATGACGGGAGTAAAGCCTTCTTGTGTCAAGTGGTTAGCAAAAAGTGAAGAACAAGTGGTCTTGTATTACACATCTTTATTGTATGGCAGATGAATGTCAGTTGGCAATTAATATTTATTTATAGTTTTAAAAATTCACTGTAATTAACCTGATTGATTGGCCTTAGGTTCTGCTCATTTGCGTCCAATGTTTTGATCCATTCCACATAGTCATTCTGTTTTTTTGGGGTTAAAAAAAGCTGAAAATTAATACAAATATAAAAACTTTAGTATTGGTCCAATAAATGTTAGACTCCATGCAAATATGATTTTTTCTTTTTCATACACCTGCCATCTGTTGTTCCCTGTGCAGCTGGCTTACAGGTAGTGTAACCAAACAAAGACTTCTAATACAAATACTGTCTCTGTGCTTCAGGTACTGGCTGATGCGGATTGCTTCTCTACCCGGATCCTTACAGACACACTGCTGTAGAAGAAACCAACAATGTCTCAATCAGATGCTGAAAACTCAGATACACCAAAGCAAAGATTCGAGCTAGAGGTTGAAGACAATGACACAAAAGCCGCCTTTAGTAAAGGAGACAAAGATGCAAAAAAAGACAAGAAGCCACCCATGGAATCATCCATGCAGGGTGAAAGCAACAATTTCCCACTTGAAATTCATTTTGACACAAGTTTTCTTCCATCACTACCAGGCTCCAAAGTCAAGTAAGTCTCTGTTGTATTTATTTTTATTATTTAATTTAGGTACTTATATACTCATCACTTTACATATATATTGTATATTCACATCAGTCCCTAACCCTCAAGGGGACATACAATCTAAGGTCCCTAACTTGCATACACATACTAGGGCCAATTTAGACAAGTTATCCAGTTAACCTACCAGCATGTCTTTAGAGTGTGGGAGGAAACCAGAATACCCGGAGGAAAACCCACACAGGCACAGGGAGAACATGCAAACTCCAGGCAGGCAGTGCCATGGTTGGGATTCAAACCAATGACCTTAGTACTGCTAGGCAGAAGTGCTAACCATTTAGCCACTGTGCTACCCATGAAACATATCTCCTATATTTTTGGTGCTGTGATGATTTTTTTTACAACACTTTGTAGATATTGTTCTAATAAAAATTATTGGAGTATCCTTGCAAGATTGTGTGGCTATCCTGTTTTTTACTGGAATTTTTTCAGTTATGAGCCAGGAGGTCACCTTAATGTGAGAACTAAGTACGAGCTGTGTGTGTGTAAACCGACCTAGTGCCATGCTTCTAATTTGTTGCATTTTACGATAACAATATATTTATATAATATATATTTATATAGATATATTTTAAAGGATATGAAAAGTCACCATGTGGCCATATTAGGTCAATGATATCACAAGCACAATGATGCACATGCAGCTGCAAGGTGGGGAATGCCTGAGAAATAGTTGATTGGCCTGGAACTGACAGCTTCTTCGTAGGATCAGCCCTCATCCCTACTTAGTAGGTCTGTAACCTGTATAAACCATTTATCCTGCAATCCTGTGCTTTTACATGCACATGAAACTCCTTGTTGACTTCTAATGTCTTTGTAAACTAAAGCAGATGATATGTCTGTGAAGGATCACATTTATCCAGGTCATGTTATAGCTAGCAGTAGTTAATCACATTAAACTGAACTGTAAGTTGAAGTTGTTGAGCAGTATCAAGGCCACTTCTTCAGTTCTAGCAAGTGTCAGGAACGTACCCCAGATACCACCAGTATGCACCCAATGTATTATGTCCCTGTGATATTTCCTGTATATTATATCTGTGCAAACAATCGAGAAAGCTGTTATCTAACCACTTCAAGTCCAGACAATTTTACCCCCTTCCTGTCCAGGCCAATATTCAGCTTTCAGCACTATCACACTTTGAATGACAATTGCGTAGTCATGCAACACTGTACCCATATGAATTTTTTAGCATTTTTTTTTAGACAGATAAAGCTTTATTTTGGTGGTATTTATTCACCACTGGGATTTTTATTTTTTTTGCTATATAAATGAAAAAGTCCAAAAATGTTGAAAAAAGTGTTTTTCTTATAAAATTTTGCAAATAAATAATATTTCATCATAAATCTTGGCCAAAATTTATTCAGTTATATTTTTAGTAAAAAAAAAAAACCCAAATTAGTTTATAAACCAAAAATTATAATTAAAAAAAAATGTTTTTACATTTTTATTTTATTTTTTATATTATTATTTATGTTTTAATTTTTACATACTGTCACCCTAGCATTACAGTGTCACCATGGTGACACTGTATTACTTGTGGGGGGTAATGTAAATTTTATTTTTATTTTTTTTTTACACTGATTGCTTTTACACCGTAAAGGCTGTAAAAGCAATAATTTCTCCTTCTCTCTGGCTGCATTCTTGTAGCCATTGAGAAATACTGTGTGAGCTGTGATTGGTCACAGCTTGTCACATGGTACAAGGCTGTTGTGAATAGCCTTGTACCATGTGACCTCTGTGATCATTCACAGATTTCACACGTAGTAAGCAGTGATGTCACAAGTGACATCTTGCTTACTACTCTTCATGTGATCACTGATTGGCCAATCAGTGATCACATGATCGGGACCTCGCACAGAGGTCCCGTACAACGATCGGTGTACGACAAGTGGGCACCTATTGGCAGTGCTGCACGCTCCCAGGGAGTGCGCACAAGCAGGGGGCGGGAAGGCCGTTTATAAATGGCTACCCACCCCTGCACTGCCACCGCCCGGCCGTTTATATACAACAGGCCGGACAGGAAGTGGTTAAAGCAAACTCCATCTTCCTGACCTTGTTTCATCTTACACCTATATTTAGGATGCAACATGAAACATGGTCAGAGTCCAAACCCCCCACATGCTTCCAGAATACAAGGCTTCGTCTCCCTGAAAGCTCCTTTCAAATTTGAATTTGGTACGTTTAGGTGTGACTCCGCCTGCACAGCCGCATCATTCATTTCCCGGAATCTGTGAATGAAAAGTCCACCATTGGGGCAGAGGGGCTGCAGTTCTCAATCAAGCACAAGTGAAGTGATATCACAGCACTTGTACTCCATTGATACGTCCTCCAGCTCTGTACCTGAAGGTCTATATATTTCAGTGTAGACATGAGCTCGAGGAATATTTTATTTATTTATTTCAGGTACTTCTATAACGCCGTCAATTTACACAGCGCTTTACATATACTGTATATTGAACATTCACATCAGTTCACATCAGTCCCTGACCCTCAATCGTACAATCTAAGGGTAGAATAGTCTGCAAGAGCCAGAGCATTGCACCCATGATCCACTAATCACTATTAGAATGCTTTGCAAGCTCAAATGCAAAATGAATAAATAAATAATATAAACACATTTTTGCTGTTTTGCAACATGGGTGCATTTACTTCTTATTATATTTTTTTGCAAAAGGTGGAATTCTCATTTGAATAAGCATGGCCACTAACACTTCTGCCAGACTGACATATGTGTGGAGTCAGTCAATTCTCTTGAGTCCAGTTTGGGTGTACTAGAAGGTATGATGTATCCCTTATCTGGATTCATTGCAGAGGTTCCGTGATTTTTATAACTGCATTGTAGGTTCATGTAACATATATGCCATTGGAGCATCTCACACCCGCTGTTTTGACCAACAGACCTGAGATTGGTTTATACATTGGACACCTTAATACTTCATATATTTCAGTATGAAAAACGTTTTTATCAAAACATGATATTCTATCTCATTCTCTCTGCAAAATAGGAGAAAAATACTGCAATGTAAAAGATTACTGGTAAATAACAGGGTTTTTTTTTACATCTGAACAAAAAAGAGGATAAAAGACTTGTCCTGCATTTTTCCCCACTGCCTGCACATTCTTTCCATGATTTTACTTCTCTGTGTCCTGTCTTGACACTAGTGATTTAAGATTCTTCCACGCCCCTGTAAGCTGAATCCAGGGTAGCAGCAGCGACCTGCAAACAATGTTCTCTGCCTTCACATGACCGCTTATAAATTACTCTTTATCCCTTGCTTCCTCTCTTTTCTTTCTATGTTTGGGACTCTGCTGTAATATTTTTAACATTCGTCTTTCCCAAACTGATCTATTTTCAATATTCATTTAGTTATGCTACAGCTAGCAGCTGTATATATCCAAATTTGTTCTCGTTTGGAGATGAATATTTGCATATATAGCAAGGATTTGCATGAGGCATTGCCTGATGTTCGCCTCACTTTTTTTTTGTATTCCATTGGAGTCACTGCTATGCCATGTCCCATGCTGGTCTGAATCACTAGCATTTTCTTAATAAAGTCCTGTAGGCTTCAACAGTACTGACCATGTATAGGTGTTCTGGCCCAGCAAAGCTTTGTGATGCTTTGGAGAAAATTACCCAGAAAAGCTTTCTTATTTCATAGAAGTTTTCTTGCAGACACAGTTGTGCTCATAAGTTTGCGGACCCTGGCAGAAATCATTAATTTTGGCATTGATATTGAAAATATGACTGATCATGGCAAAGAAACTGTCATTTATTTAAGGATAGTAATCATATGAAGCCATTTATTGTCACATGTTGTAGCTGTTTGCCTCCTTTTTAAATCATAATGGCAAAATAAATCGCCACAAATGGCCCTGATGAAAAGTCTGCATACCCTTAGTTCTTAATATGGTGTATTGCCCTCTTTAGCATCAATGACAGCGTGCAGTGTTTTGTAATAGTGGTCTAAAAAGCCCCAAAATCTTGCAGGTGATATAGCTGTCTATTCATCTTGGCAAAATACCTCCAGGTCATGAAAAGTCTTTGATCATCTTGCATGAAGCACATATTTGAGATCTCCCCAGAGTGTCCTGATAATATCAAGGTCAGGGGACTGTGATGGCCACTCCAGAACCTTCATCTTTTTTTTCTGCTGTAATCACTGGAGGGTCAACTTGGCCTTGTGCTTAGGGTTATTATCATGCTGGAAACTCCAAGTGCATTTCATGCAGAAGAATGCAAATTGTCTGAGATTATTTTCTGATGACATGCTGCTTTCATCTTGACATGAATCTTCACAAGATTCCCTGTGCCTTTTGAGATCACACACCCTCAAAATATCAGTGAGCCACCACCATGCTTCAGAGTGGGGATGGTATTCTTGACTCCTCTCCAAACTCTTTACAGTGTGCCAGATTAAGCTGTGTCAAGGTGTTGTCGGGCATATTGTAACCTGGGGTGTATTTATTACAAAGCGTTCGCCTTGGGGTGGCATTTTTTCAGGAGGGTGGCACCATTAGTTGTCCTGCGTACCCTGTGCTCTGCCTTTCAGCCACTGGTTCCTGTGTGGTGACATCACACCAGTGACCAGGAGTGGATGGCGTTGTATATGAGGAGGCTCTGAGGGGCACTGGGATTGGGTGGCAGGTGGAAGAGCGGAGTGAGGGGAGTTGGGGGAGCGGACGTGAAATTCCAGGAAGGGAACCGGGATTCCAGAAAGCTGTGATGGTAAGTCTCTATCCTTCTCTCCCGGAGGGTGGCAGATTTTTTGTGTTGCCTAGGGCAGCACAAAACCTAAATACACCACTGATTGTAACTGGGCTTTTTGGGCATTGGCACAGTAAAGGCTTCTGGCAACCCGACCATGCAGCTCATTTTTGTTCAAGTATCAATGTATTTTTTTCCAGAGAAGCCTGGATTTCTCCTTAGGTTACCTGTGGGTTTATCTTTGTATCCTGAATAATTCTTCTGGCAGTTGTGGCTGCAATCCTTCTTGGTCTACCTGACCTTTGCATGGTATCAAGAGATACCCAAATTTTCCACTTCTTAATAAATGATTGAATAGTACAGACTGGCATATTCAAGAATTTGGATATATTTTTATATCCTTTTTTATGTTTATCAAGTTCCATTAGCTTGTTTTGCAGGACTTTGACAGTTTTTTCTGCTCCCCTTGACTCAGTATCTAGCCTGCTCAGTGCATTGAAGTGAGAGCTAACAACTCATTTACTAATAATACACAGACACTAATTGCAATTTAAAAAGGGAAATTAAGCTTTAGTTGCCATTTTAATCCATGTGCATCAACTTGTGTATCTGTACCAAGGCCAAACATTCCAGGGTATGTAAAGTTTGACCAGGGCCAGGGCTGGATACCAGCCCCCACCCATGTGAATTAGTAAGGAGTAGATAAAACCCCTACTCATTCACAGAAAAAGTGTAAAGTGTAAATAAAGACACACACTTTTTACAAGTTCCTTGTTAAAAAAATATCCCACAATGTACAGCCATCATCAATCATATGCCCATCACTGTGGATCTATATCAATCATAATGAAGGATGCCTTACACCTGCCAAAAGAATAAATAAAATTAATGATGACCAATGGACATGACCAATTGAGGACTGGTCATGCTGAATACCATTTCTTGGGCCCCGACAAAAAGGTATAGCTGCAACCGCCACTTTCTTAGCAACCATTGACAGTAAGGAAGCTTTCATGTATAATGGTATTTCTACAACTACTATACATGACATAAGGCTCCCACTGTACAGGTAGAAAGTCCAGCATTCGGATGAATGCCTCAACAGTTCCAATTGTCAGTTCCATGCCCATTGGTACAGTACAGTGAGAGTTTCCACAGGAGGGCAGGAAGTGTGTTCCAGGTAGGATCACCAGGTATAAATAAAGCTGCCACCTGTAAGCACTGGTAAACTGCAATATATTACATTTTTATTCTTGGGTATACACACACTTTAACTCCTTTTTTTTTATTCAAAGGGCCCTGACATTGATCCTAAAGATGTTTACACAAGAGACAGACTCTTTGAAGCTGTTGTCAATCATGACACGGAGGACCTTGCTGCACTAAAAACCTATTTGCACAAATCCATGAAACATCTCACTAATGCAGAATTTAAAGGTAAGAGATCTGGAGTTTTTTTCTAGACAGGCCCAGGCTGTCCACAGATAAATTGGAAAGTCAGCAGAAGACCAGTAACTTTAAGGCATGCTAAAGGCAATGATTACATATACGTACATTCAGAGGGAAAATTACAATGGTTTTATGTCAGTATATTTATATTTTGTTTACACATTTTCAAAACTTTTAACCACTTCCAGTCCGGACACTTTTACCCCCTTCCTGTCCAGGCCAATTTTCAGCTTTCAGTGCTATCACACTTTGAAGACAATCGGTCATGCAACACTGTACCCATATGAATTTTTTAGCATTTTTTTGAGACAGATAAAGCTTTATTTTGGTGGTATTTATTCACCACTGGGATTTTTATTTTTTTTGCTATGTAAATGAAAAAGTCCAAAAATGTTGAAAAAAAAGTGTTTTTCTTATAAAAGTTTGCAAATAAATAGTAATTCATCATAAATCTTTGCCAAAATTTATTCTATCTTTTTAGTAAAAAAAAATAATAACCCAAATTAGTTTATAACCACAATTATAATTTTTAAACATTTTTTTTTACATTTTACTTTTATTTTTTTATATTATTATTTATGTTTTTTTTTTTTTTACATACTGTCACCCTACCAGTACAGTGTCACCATGGTGACACTGTACTACTTGTGGGGGGTGATGAAGCTTTTTTTTTTTTTTTTTTTACACTGATTGCTTTTACACCGATAAAGGCTGTAATTCTTGCAGCCATTGAAAACTACTGAGTGAGCTGTGATTGGTCACAGCTTGTCACATGGTACAAGGCTGTTGTGACTAGCCTTGTACCATGTGACCTCTGTGATCATTCACAGATTTCACATGTAGTAAGCAATGATGTCACAAGTGACATCTTGCTTACTACTCTGCATGTGATCACTGATTGGCCAATCAGTGATCACATGATCGAGACCTCGTACAGAGGTCCTGTCTGACGATTGGTGTTCCACTGTGTCCAGAGGACAAGGCAGGCACCGGATCGTGGAGCTGCATGCTCCCAGGAGCGCGCACAAGCAGGGGGCGGAGAGGCCGTTTATAAACAGCCACCCGACCCTTCACTGCCACCGTCCGGCAGTTTATATACAATGGCCGGACGGGAGGTGGTTAAACTTGTTTTGCTGCTCATATAAGGTTTTCATTTTAAAAATAAACAGTTTAAACGGTGCAGGCATGCTGCATTATGAGTTTTTGAAAGTGAGAGCACATCAGATTCTGATTCCTTTTAGACTATCTCTATCTGATTGAAACTTGTAATCAGCCCTCAGAAAGCAGGAGGAGAGAGGAGGAATAATTCTACCTATGATTTATTTAGTTGCACATATATCTGAGCTACCTTGAGCTATTGACCTCTTCAAACAGCAGACCTTTTTTCACCAGGTTTAAAGTGGTTGTAAACCCTCCCAAATACCCAGTGAAGTGACTAGCCTCAGGTGATACACAGAGATGAAACAAATTCTCCTAAAGTTGTACCTATCTATCTGTAGTATTCTCTTCTTTGCATCTGTACAGAATCCAGAATTTATAAAGCTTGCCTAAGTTTTTAGAAAAAAGGGGGAGAAGAGCTGAAGTTACACTCTGAAAAGCTCAGTGAGGAGTGTTCCAGAGAACTGATTGGAGGGAAGAGAAATATCCCCTTCACACAGCTCACTGGAACAAAGCTGAAGATGTCATTTACAGACTGTGTGCTGGAGGTTCCTCCGCTGTCACCATTTTTCCCTTGGTGTCGGGAAAATGTATCAGAAGTGATTCTTGCTGATACCAGAAGAATGAAGCAGCAGACAGAAATTACACTTAGTGCTCTGGATTGAGAAAAGTACACACTATAGAGGGTTATGCTTTGTTCATATTTCATGTCTGAGGTTTACAACCACTTTAAGGAAAGCCTGAAAACATGTGAAAAAGGAGTGATGTAAAGGACTTCATACTTTTCCCCAGTGTACATGAGGAAGCCAACAGACCCGTTGGGGTTTATTATTTAAAGCTGCAGCATGCAAAATCAGGCTCACTTCTGTAAAGAAACCAATCAGCTTCTAGGTTTTATTGCCAAAGCTTAATTGAACAAGCTGAGGTTAGAAGCTGATTCGTTTCTATGTAGAAGTGAGCCTGATTTTGCACTCTCCAGCTTCAATAAATAAACCCTTTTATTTCTATGATATTATAGGTTACAATGTTTAGCCATCCAGTCTAATTTATCGGTCTAAGTAATTAATTAAAAAATGAATGCAGTGATCCAGCGCCATGGGCAGTAAGCAGCCAAGACAGAGAGCAAAATGTGGAGATCAACCCAAATCAGGAGAATATAACAGAAATTTCTGGAACATACAAAGAACAAACAAGTTGCTATTGAGTTTCAAACAACTTGTGCTTCTATGCATGTATCTGGTGTGCACCAAAGACCATGAAGGTGGAAATGTATTTGGTTGCAAGACATTTCTAAGGTGTAACCCTTGGGGTAACCTTGTCATCAGTTGCATAGTTGCCACCTTTCCAAAAATGTTTTAGGGATGTCTTTTTTTGCCAGGTGTCCAACAAGCCATTGTAGGTGCAGCATTACTTTAATTAGGGGTGGAGGCATTCATTTAAAATGGGCGTGGTCTTACAAGAAGCATATCATTAACATATTAATTTATTTGTTGCAGCCATATGTAGTGCCTTCTACCCTATACCATTTCTCAGATATTTGGGGAACTGTAATAAATTGTCATTTATTATGTAGGACAGACAAATTTGGGAGTTGTGCACTTTTTTTACTAGTGTGTTGGTAATCTGAGGACCTACAAGTCCCTGGGTGGTGAGATAAACTAAATGCTGAAACTTTCTGTAACGTTGCAGACCTGGGACAATTTTGTCTTCTTTAGTGTTGAGCAACTACAAGACCCAGCATGCCCATGTAATTATTTTACACACATATGTTCCCAAATGGAAAAATGAAAAAATACCAAAACGAAAACTTCACATAAAGTACTTCAAATACCTTGCAAACTTGTGACTTGTAACTAGAATATATTCAATTCACCACTTGTGCAAATCTCACTCCACTACCACTCTTGTGGTCTTACCTTATAGTTAGACCTAACTGATATTAGGCATAAGCACACTCCGTAAGTGGGGGTCTCATATGCCACAGATGTACTTCTTGCTCAGGTACCCGGATACTCTTTAATACTCCTCCGCAAACCTAGAGCAATTAAAAAATTAAAAAAACTTTCCCTGGCTCCATTTGTGTAGCTGCAGGGGGGGTGCCGTGGCAGAAAGCAGACTATCTTTCCATTTTTGAGTGCGGCGGAGTAATCTTCATGCAGCTGCACCCAGTAGAACCAAACCTCTTCTACATTTATCCGCTGAAGCGATCCGATGGATTGATATTAAAGAGGCAGGGACTTTAATTTATCTATTGGGTGCCGCTGCATGAAGATTACTCCTCTGCACCCAAAAATGGAAAAATAGTCCACTTTCTGCCGCGGTCCCCTCTACAGCTTAACAAATGGAGCCAGGGAAAGTTTTGTATTTTTTTAATTGCTCTAGATTTGCTGAGTAGTAGGGAGTCCTATCTGAAGCTTTCTCCAGCCCTGATCCCAGATTCCGGGACATAGGCCAGGATGGAGCAATGGCAGGACAGAATCTAAAAAATCATGGCTGTCCCGGGCAATCCGTGACAGTTGGCAAGTATGCAGTTGTCAGACAGGGCTTGGAAACAATAAAGGTAAATAAGAAAGCGCAAAAGGTAAGCAGAATGGGGTAGGACAGAAACAGATGCAGAACAAATTCCGCAGGAGAGAGGTAGCCAAAAAAGCTACCAGCACCACAACAATCAAAACAATGGGTACAAGAAAATTGGCAAAAAAAAGTACTAAAAAGCTGGTGTCGTGGGAGTGGGTACATAGTTAGTCTGGCTGAAAAAATACAAAAGTCCATCTAGTTCAACCATATAATAAAATAAATAAATAAATAAAACAAGTTATAATCCTATACCCACAGTTGATCCAGTGGAAGGCACAAAAACCCCTAACAATAGCAGAAACAAGGGCCACCAAGGGCAACCATGACCAGGACAAAAAGGCTGTCAAGAAGCTGGAAGACAAATCATCCATGGGTTCAATCATATACAAATGTTTTGGCTCAGCATGAGAAACACATTCAAGGAGATAACAAAAACGTGTATGCATTTTTTTTTACTTCACTTTTGTTTAGCTTTTACATACTAACACATGATAACATCAGTTTTCATCACTTAACGTGTGTTTCCTACAAAATAACTTGCTCAAACATGTACATGCTTGCTTCCTTGCACAATGAAAGTCAAAGTATTACATACATACCTATAATAGTATATCATATGTGTCCATGCACATGACTGTAATCAACGTTTTTTTAGCTGGGACGTTTTTGGCTGAAAAAAACCCAGGACTAGTGGGTTTCTAGAGGAGTTTTTTAGCTGTAAAAACGCTCTAACGCTGAAAAACGCTGAAAAATGCAGTAAAACGCCGCAAACCAGTGTTTTTGGACTTTTTTTGACGAAAAAAATTTTTCTGTAAAAAATACTTGAAAAAACGCTAAAAACCGCAAATGTGGGAAAACATGGGAAAACGCTGCTAATCGTGCCAAAACACCACTAAATGCCAAAAAAGCTGAAAAACTTGTGTTTTTAACGTGACTTTACACAGCTAATGTTACCAGCATATTAAAAACGTCCAATGTGCATGAGGGCTAAGAGCAAAGTCAGAGAAGTGACACATAAAGGGAGAATTACCAAAACTGGTGCACTCAGAATCTAGTGCAGCTGTGCATGGTAACCAATCAGAATCTGACTTCAGCTCGTTCAATTAAGCTTTGACAATAAAACCTGGAAGATGATTGGTTTCTATGCAGAACTGCACCAGGTTTTTCACTTCCCTGTTTTAGTAAATCTACCCCAGAGCAAGTTCCAGGAAACACTCAGCTAATGCTAGCTACAGAGATTTCTCTTGTTCAGC